GTGAGTGTGTGTGTGTCTGAGAGTGCGTGTGAGTGTGTGTGTGTGTAAGAGAGTGTGTGTGTGTGTGTGTGTGTGAGTGAGAGTGTGAAAGAAAGAGAGTGTGAAAGAAAGAGAGTGTGTGAGTGTGTGTGAGTGAGAGTGTGCGTGTAAGAGTGTGTGTGAGAGTAAGAGTGTGTAAGAAAGTCTGTGTGTGAGTGTGTGTGTGTGTGTGTGTGTGTGTGAGTGTAAGAGACTGTGTGTGTGTGTGAGTGTAAGAGACTGTGTGTAAGTGTGTGTGCGCGTGTAAGAGAGTGTCTGAGTGAGTGTGTGTGAGTGAGATTATTTTTCTGTAGCATTTTTACAGTCTTTTACTGTTAAAATCACAATCATTTTTTACAGTGTAGAATAAGTTGACATAAACTTGTAAAGTTTCTCATAGTCAGTGTGTGTATGTTGTGGACCCATCAAAGTAAAGTGTTAGAAGATATTAAGCAGACAGTCTACTAATACTCTAATGACTGCTAGTTGGCATGTAGTTGCAAAGTTACTTACTGTTAGTAGAATGTCTGAAGTGGACTATCGAAATAAAGTGTTACCAAAAACTGAAATGTTATTTTCTTGTAAAAGTACACTGTTTGGTAGATACTGAAGGATTACAACAACATACTGATTAAAATAAAAAAAAAAGTCTTACATTTGTATATAATAAGCAAAGGGTTATATTAAGATTTTATACTTGTTTAAAACGTTTCTAATTGATTATTGTGATAGTTATAGTTAACTAAAACCATAAAAAATAAACATTGAAATAAATGTTAAATGCATCTAAGAAAACGTAACCTTGTTTTATTTCATCTAGTTTCCAAGGCAACATTTCTAATTTTTATTTAGTTTAAATGTACTAAAATAACTAAATTGAAATAAAAATGAAAATAATAAAATATACAGACATTTTTAACAAACAAAAATGAATAAAAGTGGCAAACAAAAAATTACTAAAACTTTAAAATTAATATGAAAACAAAAAATATAAAAATGAATTCAAAATATTTTAAAACTATAATCTCAATGATGCTAAGACACCACTGTAGGGAAAATACATTTACATATTGATTGTTTTTAACATGATTTTTCATGTATAATTTAAATTTTGAAAATAATTTGGAATTTTTGAGGCCCCCTGGTTGAGAAGCACGGATCAAGCTCACAAGCTGCATACTTAATATATAGGTTTAATTAGAAATTATTTATGCTAAAAAAAGAAGCAATCAGGAGACGTGATTGGCCGGAGCGGCGGAGGAGAGGGACTTTGAGCGCTGGCGGTCAGTGGCGTCGTCCTCGGGCTCGGTGCTGGGGTGAACACAGGAGATGGAGCGACTGACCGTCAGTGTGTGTGACGTGTGTGTGTCGAACACACTGACACCAGCAGGAGACTCCAGAGCTGCACACGGAGACAATATATCATACACACAGTCTAAAAATAACTAAAGACACCCAGAAAACCCACGGCACGATTCAGGAGGACATTCTGATATGAAACAACTTCATGAGAGTAGAGAGGAAATGATGAACTCACGGGGAGGCGAGTCTCCACCCTCTGTGCTGTGAGTGACAGGACCCGGCTCCGCCTCCTCTGTGACGGACAGCAGCACCCATGGGCACAGGGGCGGGGCCGGCAGAGCAGGGGATTCTGGGACACGAGCCAGAGGAGGAGGAACTGGACAACAGAAAAGTGAGTCAGATATGTGTGTGTGCGTGTAAGAGAGTGTGTGTGTGTGAGTGAGTGAGTAAGTGAGAGTGTGAGAGAATAGGAGTGAGAGTGTGTATGCGTGCGTGTG